GATGGATCTATTTCTGGGTTCTCAATTCTATTCCATTGGTCTATGTATCTGTCATTAAACCAATACCAGGCAGTTGTGACTACTGTGGCTATATAATAGTAGATTTTGAGATCTGGCAGTGTGAGACCTCCTACTTTGTTTTTCTTCTTCAATAGTGCTTTGCTTATCCGAGGTCTCTTTCCTTTTCACATGAAATTCGCGATTGGTTTTTCCATATCCCCAAAGAATGTTGATGGGATCTGGATTGGAATTGCATTGAATGTGTAGATTGCTTTGGGTAGAACTGACATTTTCACAATGTTCAATCTTCCTATCCATGAGCATGGGATGTTCTTCCATTTATGTAGATCTCTTACGGTTTCTTGAAGTAGTTTTTTTTATAGTTTTCTTTGTAGAGGTCTTTTGTGTCCCTAAACCTGGTCCCCCTTTTTTTTTTCAAGTGATTTTGAATTTTATTCCACATTGTTTTCCCACTCTATCCAGGACCTCCTACATAGATCCCCTTCTGAGTGGTTGACAGTGGTAGCTGGGTACTATCTAGTTCTTCTGGTCTCATAGTCGTATAGGCTGAGAATTGTATGGTGTACCAGTCACTTGGACTAACTGTTTCCATAAATCTTTGGTTTTCTTTTGGTTTTCTTCATTCTTCTTTGCTCTGGACAAGGAGAGACCCAACTCTATTGCATCTAGATAGATGGCTGCTTGCAAGCTTTTAAAATCGCAGTCGCTACTCACCAAAGTAGGATGTGGAATGTGTTTTGTGTAGTATGTTATGCCAATTGAACTTGATGTCCCCTGTAACTATGGTCCTGAGCCCACAGGTTCAACTACTCAGTCACTCTGGGTAGCTGGCTGTGGCCAAGAAGTGACTACAGCCTTGTCCCTTGTCAGCTCTACCATATACCTTGAAATTCTTACAGAATATACCAATAAACTTGTAGAAACATTGTCTGCCAACCCTATACATGGTCTTGGGCACATTCCCCCCTGCATAGACATATCTAATAGTTCAGCCTGTCCACCCATCTATCCACTCTCATATTCACGTTTGCCTTCACTGATAGCACAGTACTGTGTGTGCAAAAATCTTTTTGGTTGTCTGTACCTCCCATGTACCTTTCTATGTCTTCCTTTTCCTCAGTGCCACCGTGTTGATCACTCACATTTGGTATGTTGCCCTCTCTTCACCCAAATCAGTATTTGTCTCTACCTATCTAACAGGAGCTCTGATAGCATAGTGCCTAAGGCACTTGACTGATAACCAGAAGGCTGGCGGTTCAAACCCACTGGCCACTCCTCAGAAGGAAGATGGGGCAATCTAATTCCGTAGTGATACAGCCTCGGAAACCCAAGGTGGGGTTGCTATGAGTCGGATCTGACTCGATGGCACATAACAACAACAACAGTCGATTTGATTCCTAGGTATTTCATCTGGTGAGGTCCACATTTCTCTGTTAATGTTGTTGAAATAAAGGTATTTGCAATGAATAAGTCACTGGTATTGTAAAATTATATCATGCATTCTCCAGGTGTTATTTTCCAAATACCAGTCCCTTATTGACAGTGTTGTACTTCCAGACAGATCTTAAAATGTCTAAGAGATGTATGTGTGTATAATCTATCTACCTTTTTTATCATCTATTTATCTATCTGCTATACAATGAGAATTGCTTATAATCTTGCCTTTTGTGGAAGCTTGTGAGAGTGTAGGACACAGAAATGAGAAGAATGAGCATTTGCATTAACATGAAATAAACAGAATGTTGAACTTTGAACACAAGACATCCCCCCTCCCCATTAGGAGACTCGTCGTGTCTCGTTAATGAGACAATTGCAGTTGCCTCATATTTGTGCTGTGCCTAGGTTAAGTTGAGCCTGCAAACTCTTGATCTTAAATTGGAATACTCAAGACTGAAATCCATACTTGAGACATGGTTTATTAAGAGAATATAATTTGTTTCCAACACTCATCTGTCAGTTTGTCACCCTGTGGTGGCTTGCGTGTTGCTGTGAGGCTGGAAGCTATGCCACCGGTATTTCAATCCCCAGCAGGGTCACCATGGTGGACAGGTTTCAGAGGAGCTTCCAGACAAAGACAGACATGGAAGAAGGAAGGGGGATCACTTCTCAAAGAACTGGCCACTGAAAACCTTACTAATTGCAATGAAACACTATCTTATATAGTACTGGAAAACTCTATGAATAGCTCCAAAACACTGTACAATGGGCTCAGGTATAGTAAGGATTGTGAGGCTGGCACAGAACTGGACAATGTTTCATTCTGTTGTACATAGGGTCACCATGATTCAGAGCTGGTGGGCACCTAACATCATCAACAACAACAACAAAATTCGTCTGTTACAAACTTCTGGGCTACTCTAAAGCCTATGACTGCTGGTTTTTTTAACAGTCACCCAAAATGAAAAAACAAACCACCCACTGCCAGCGAGTCGTTCCAACTCCTGAGACCCTTTAGGGCAGTAGAGCTATATAGCGTACAGTTTGCAAGGCTGTAAATTCACATCCCATTAACTTTGGACTCCTTAAGAGTCTGGGATATTTTCCACATAAGCTAAAGCCAAAGTGGGATCTTGCCTTGTGAATGGAAGTGCAGGTGAGACAGAGGGTGACCTTTGAGACGCTCATGTCCAAGGGTGCCTCTCTGCAGTGGGAAACCAGAAGAGAGGGTGCTTCGTTGGGCCTCGGGGACCCAGAGAAGGAAAGAGCGCTGTGAAGCTGTGGGGACATTTTGGGAAGAAACTGAGCGCCGTTGAGCTGCGGGAGAGACACTATGGGCGTCACAGGCGATTGTGCGCGGCCACCGCTAGGGGGAAGCGCTCTCGGTGCGGACGCGCGGACTTCCAGACGCTCTGCCCAACCTAGAGGACACCGAGGTATAGATGGGGGGGGGGGGGGGGGGAGAGGCGGAGCCTGTCACTGGCCGTCGGAGGAAAATCACCTGTGTTGAGTCTAAGCTGGTGAGCTGCGGAGTGGCAGGGAAATAAACACGAGTGGGTGGATGTGCTGGAGGACCCAGGGGCGCTGCAGAGCGAGGCCAAAGGAAGAGAAGAAATCCTAGCGGGCCCGACGCACGTTTGAACTGCCGGAGGGGAGCGAGCCTGGGCCGACGCTGCGCCTTTGAGCCAAGAGGGGACCCGGAGAGTCCACGAGCTTCCTATTTTATTGCATCCTCATTATTCCTGGGTATTTGCTTTTGTGTGTGTGTGTGTGTGACCAACTGATGATGGGGAATTTGTTGTTGTTGTTGTTGTTGTTATGTGCCTTCCAGTCGGACCGAGTCATAGCGACCCTTCCTTGGGTTGCCGAGGCAACTTCACTACGGAAGTAGATTGCCCCATCTTCCTTCCGAGGAGTGGCTGGTGGGTTTGAACCGCCACCCTTCTGGTTAGCAGTCAAGTGCCTTAGCCACTATGCTACCAGAGCTCCCGACGGGGAATTTAGGTCTCAATAGTTTAGTCTGATTATTTTTGATTATTAATGAAGTTGAGCACATTTTCATATTAATGACTTTGTATTTATACCTTTAGGAGCTCTGGTGGCGTAGTGCCTAAGGCATTTGACTGCCAGCCAGGAGGCTGGCGGTTCATACCCACCAGCCACTCCTCGGAAGGAGGTTGGGCAATCTACTTCCATAGTGATACCGCCTGGGAAACCCAAGGAGGGGTGGCAGTGAGTCGGGTCCGATTCGACGGCAGTGCGTGGCGTTATTTATTCTTATATGTATTATGGTTGTATTATATATCATTATCTTGCATAATTCTTATACATCATTTTATATATTCTGTTTTTAATTTTATATATTAAAGAATTTGTATTTTTTCTGAATCTTTGGTTCATATCCTTTGATCATTTATCTTAAGTATTTTTGATACTAATTGGCTTTAAAAAAAACAATTTTTGTCTACATTGTTATGCTTTGTCATGTCCAATATGTTCCAAATTTCTCCCTCTAGTTTTCCATTTGTCTTTTATTTTCTTTACAATGCTTGTAACCTGCAAGGTTTCCATGGACTTGAGTCCATCAGTTACATTCTTGGTTCTTTTCTTTGTGTGTCTTCCATCTGGGTTTATATACATCAAGTCAATCTATACTTTCTTTGAGGGGTCTTACACTATTTTAGATCTTTCTTCCAACTTCAATATAGGAATTTAACTTTATTTTGTTTCCAACAGGTAGCTAATTATCCAAACACCATTTATTTCAAAATCCTTCTTTTCCTCATGGATTTTGATGCCACTTTTAGAATAGAATAACTTTCTTTTTTTTTTTTTAAATTGAAGTGAAAAGTGTATGACGTAAAATTAACTATTTCAAAGTGAATAATTCAATGACGTTTAGTGCAGTCACAATGTTGTCCAAGCACCTACTCTATTAGATCCAAAACATTTTCATCACTCCCCCAAAAAACCCTGCACCCATTCAGCATTAAATAAAATAAAAATTTCTATCATAATCTCTGGACAATATAATTGCTGGAGATGTGGGGATTGTAATCTAAAAGGAAAAAATTTCCGTCAGATTTGTCCTTCTGGGGGCATCTCTGATGTCAGAAGAATGTATCCCTTCCCACTGGGACCATTTAATACTTTTCATTCTAGAAAAATGCAAACATGTACAGAAGTAGAGAGAAGAGTCTAAGAACTCTCATCTATGGACTCACCACTGAGTATAACAATTATTGACCCACAGCCTGTGTTGCTTCAGTGGTACCCCATTCACTTCCACTCCTTCCTGACACAAGGAGATTATTTGGAACAAATTCCAGAAATCACATCATTTTATCTAAAAATATTCATCAACTTCAACATGAATATTTTTCTAAAAGAAAAAGGTGCCTTTTTGTAAAACATAACCACTATATTGCACACTTAAAAAATAAAATAAAATAATTGCTTAATTCCACTAACTGTCCAAAACCATCTGGGCCCCTCTTCCCCTGTGGGTTGTAGCTTCTGAGGACCATTACATTTGCCTTTAAGGTGAGGTTTCCTCACTGCTCAACTGAATGAGAGACCCATTTGGTCCTATTCCTCAGGGTCATCTGTGCTCCGACAGGTAGACGAGGTGTTCCTGAAAACATTTCTTTGAAGATGGAGCCTTGATTCAACAATGCCTACAGAAACAGCTCTTAACCACTGCCCCTGTGCACTGAGAGGAAGGTACTGAGGACATTTTCCATCACATCTTTTAGTGATCCTGCAATGAGAATCATGAGAAAAAATGTATCTCTTACTTTATTGTTAGCAATAATAATAGTAGTAGTTCTATTAAGCTCTCGAGGTTTTTGTATCTATTAATATTATAGTTATTAATAATATAGTTATAGCATAAAATTGCAGCATTAATAATAATACTAACAGTGGTGTAGTAATTATGGCATTTGGCTGCTAACCAGAAGGTCGGTGGTTTGAACCCACTAGCAGCCTCATGGAAGAAAGATGAGGCTGTCTGCTTCTGTAAAGATTTACAGCCTTGGAAACCCAATGGTGGTCACTATGAGTCAGAATTGACTGGATGGCAGTGAGGTTTTTTTGTATTAATATTATAATTAATTTTACTTTTATAAGTCATCTTCCTACTGTCATGGGCTTACTGAACTCATAGATGAAAATCTGCCCCAACATTTTAAGTAATTAGGAATGTAAACCTTATTCCTGGCTCCATTTCGCTTTCCTCTCCATAATTCTCACAACTGGACCAATAAGCAGCATCACAATAAAAGGAGAAAAGATTGAAGTGTCAAAAATTTCATTTTACTTGGATCCACAATCTACATTCATGGAAACAACAGTTAAGAAATCAAATGGCATGTCACACTGGGCAAATCTGCTGCAAAAGACCTCTTTAAAGTGTTAAAGAGCAAAGGTGTCGCTTTGACGACTAAGGTGCACCAGGCCCAAGCCATGGTATTTTCAGTAGCTTCATATGCATGTGAAAGCTGGACGATGAATAAGGAAGACTGAAGAAGAACTGATGCCTTTGAGTTGTTGTGTTGGGGAAGAATACTGAAAATACCATCGACTGTCAGAAGAACAAAAAAATCTGTCTTGGAAGAAGTACAGCCAGAATGTTCTTTTGAAGTGAGAATGGTGAGACTTAGTTTTACATATTTTGGATATGTTATCAGGAGGGCCAAGTCCCTGGAGAAGGACATTATGCTTGGAAAAACAGAGAGTCAGTGAAAAAGAGGAAGACCGTCAGCGAGATACTTTGTCACAGTGGCTCTAATGATGAGCTCAAACACATGAACGATTGTGAGGATGGTGCAGGGTTGGGCAGTGTTTTGCTCTGTTATATAAAGCGTCTCTGTGAGTCGGAACCAAGTTGACAGAACCTAACAACAAGTGTCTTAGAGCAAAGCAGCCAACTGTTTTATGTGTGATTGTGTCTGCATTAGTTTTGAAGATAAGAGGGCATCACTGTTAGATTAGTTGAGTCTAATTTTATGCTATATTATTTAATCACACATTTAGTCTTCTTTATTTCCTTTCCTCTTCATATTGTATAAGTAGCTTACATTTTAAAATCTGTTTTTTAAATCTGTGTCAAAGCAAGGTCCTTTCCAGGAGTGAATAGAAACTGCCTTGTCTGGAACATAAAAATTTTTCAAAAGACCGCAGGACCCATTTCTTTTTTATTGTATATGCTGTTGTTCTACTTACTCACATTACGAGCAACTAGAAAAAATCTGAAACGACATAAAATTTATCAGAACTCTCACAGATGGATAGTTATAAAGATGTATCTACAATAGTTTCATTTTTATGACCTCCTTTCTTTCTGATATTGCTTTACAAATATTCTCATAGGGTCCAGAAGTGAACACTTACGTGGCAATAGTCTGCCACATTCACTGACACTCTGCTTTTCCAAGCATAATGTCCCTCTCCGGGCACTTGTCCCTCCTGATAACATGCCCAAAATAAATGACTAAATCTCACCATTCTCACTTCAAAGGAACATTTTGGCTGTACTTCTTCCAAGACAGACTTTGTTCTTCTGACAGTCCTTGGTGAGGCACATGTGTACCAGTGAGTGGGAAATAAACTTCACAGACACTTATGGACCTGCCACCTTAGTGAACTCTCTAGGAGTCCAGGGTCTGGGGCAGGGTGATACGTCCTTTCCAATAAGGACAAGTTGTTGCATCTGTTCCCTCCTACCCTGAGAAAGAGACACCAATCCTGGTGGGCCTCTTTGGATTTTGGAGACAACATGCACATCATTTGAACCTGCCGACTCATTTTCTGAGTAACCCCCCTGACTACCAGTTTTGAGTGGAGTCCAGAACAAAGGAAGGTTCAGCAACAGGTCTCAGCTGCAAGCAAACTGCTCTGCAACTTGCACCATAAGACCCAGCAAATGTGACAGTGCTTGACATATCTGTGACACATAAGGATACTTGATGGAGCCTTTGGCAGGTCACCCACACAACAGACCTTTAGAAGCAAGCAGCAAAGCTATTCCATACTCTTCAGATAACTATTCCTTTGAGAAACAGTGTCCCCTTCCTCCAGGATCGTAATAGAGACTGAATGCTTGGTCATGGGCCACCAAGTTACATATGACCTGAACTCTCCATCAAGAATTGCAGTGTTATCTGACCCATCAAACAATAAAACTGAGTGTGCACAGCAGAATTGGAAGTACTCTATATGGAATTGGGCTCATGGAGGTCCTGAAGGCACAAGAAAGTCACAATGCCAAGATTCCTACTTCTGTTACATTGTCTCTTCTCTCTCAATCTGCATATATGTCCTCATGAAGAGTTTCATAGGATTAGCTTTCTTTTCACATTTATCATAGGTTATGGTGACACTAAGAGCATCCCACTAGACCTCTTGCAGTCCATATATACTCTGACTTACTCCCATTGTGTAGTAGCAAACCATTATCTCCTTGCCAGCCAGAATTAAGACACCAGTACAATACTCACCCTTGCTTCTTGATTCACTATCGTGAAGAACCCAAAGTGGCCTAGTTTCAGGAAGAGGACATTTGGGCCAACTTATAGATGCAGCACTACGGCTCCATTGAAGATCGGCCTGAAGGACAATGGCTAAGGGAAACTCCGAGGGTGGAGAGGTTTGGACATTTCACCAGGCTGTTCCTTTGTCCTGGAAGAAGAAGTGTCCAGAGTTATACTTGTACACTGATTTTTTTTAGCTCCATTAACCTGGAAGATGGAACTGCTAACTGGACACCTACTACACTCTTAATAATTTTTTTTTAATGTCTTTAATGTCAGTAGTAATGCCCCCACATATATTTCTGATATTAATTGTGTCTTCTCTTTCAAGCTACAGAATGAGAAAGGCAGTGGAGAGAAGTGTTCCAGGGGAACTCATTGATCCAGTACCAGCACTTTTCACCAGGTGTGAATGGAGGGTCCTGTCTACAGCTAGAGCAAGCTGGCCCATCCTCTTTTCTCCCAGACAGCTCCTGGTAGCTTTTTAAATTTTTAAGTCCTTGGTAATTTTTGACAATGTTTTTGAAGGCCACAGAGGTGCTGGATATCCTCTTCATGCTGAACCTCCTTGAGACCCCACTAAGGTAGTTTGCACACCTCCATTCTCCACTGCACAAAGTCCTCCTGGCCTTTGTTCTATGTACCATGTATTTCTGGGTGAGATCCCACTCACACTATTGGCATCCAGCACTTGGCACATCTCCCACATCATCTCATCAGGCTCCATGAAGCTGGTGATCGTTGTTCTCCATGTAAACTTTAGTGACTATGGCTTGAAGTCTATTCCATCTTTGTCTTCAGGTTCCTTTGGGATTCTTCTGACACATGTTAAGCAAAAATTTCTTCCCATAAACTGGAAGAACCTCTCCGTGGCTCCCTGCCAGCCTTCACTGACAGAAGGAGTGTGGGTTCACGCTGGGGGGCAAGTTCTGGTCAGGCACCTCTTGCTTCTGCTCAACATGGAAGGAGCTTACTCTTGGCACTCCCTGGGGGAAAATGGCTTCCTCTAGCAACTCTGGTAGCTTAGTGTCTAAGGTACTTGACTGCTAACCAGAAGGCTGGCAGTTCAAACCCACCAGCCACTCCTTGGAAGTAAGATGGGGCAATCTACTTCTGTAGTGATACTGCCTCAGAAACTCAAGGAGGGGTCGCTATGAGTCGGGTCCAACTCGATGGCACATAACAACAACAACAGGACACTACCAGGAGCTCTGGTGTTATAGTGATTAGAGCATTTGGCTGCTAGTCCGAAGGTCCGTGGTTCAAACCCACCAGCTGCTCTGTGGGACAAAGATGAGATGGTCTGTTTCTGTAAAGATTTACAGCCTCGGAAACCCAGTGGGGATCATTGTGAATTGGAATCCACTCAATGGCAGTGAATTTGTTTGGTTTGAGGACTCTACCACAGCTCCTGATGGTTTGGGCTGAGGAGGAAGCCACAGAAACATGTTGGAGATGTGTCAGGCTGTGGCCCTGCACAGTTACTCACCATGGGGCACAGCTGGGCTGCACTGATGCCATCCTGGATTCTTGGTACAGGTGGGACAGAGCTGGGGAGACTGAGGGAGATGGAGATGCCATGGAAGTCCCAGAGCCTGTCTATATGATTCTGGGTGTTGACCTAGCTAAGGCTAGGCTTCTCCAAAAGTGAGGAATTTCTGTTTTTATTTGTGATGGTGAAGAGGTCAGTTATCATGGAAGGCATGGGGGTGGTCTCCTTCCTCTCCAGGATGGGTAGAGCATTGGCATGTATGATGCTTCAACTAGTCATCCTCAGTTCACTTACTTTTTTAGTTTCTTTTCTTCAAGTAGGAATTAGAAGTGGAAGTGGCAATTTCTCTGTATCTCAGTGCTTGATGAGAGTGTAGACACTATGCTGTAACTTGTAGGATGGGGAAGGAGTGCTGCTATCAGTCTGATCAGCTTAAGGATGGGGTTTCATGTTGCTGGTTTGTCTCTCCAACTCAGATCTCTTAGTCCTGTTGTTGTTGTTATGTGCTGTCGAGTCAGACCCGACTCATAGCAACCCCTCCTTGGGTTTCCGAGGCAGTATCACTACAGAAGTAGATCACCCAACCTTCCTTCTGAGGAGTGGCTGATGGGTTTGAACCCCAGCCTTCTGGTTAGCAGTCAAGTGGCTTAGGCACTAAGCAACCAGAGCTTCTTAGTCATCACAGCATTGTACCTCAGATCCATCCTGTGTGTAATGCAGGGACACCTTCAACTCAACCCACTGGTGGTCGTCATAGTCAGGGAATGACTCCACTTGAGTTTTGTTCTCCATCTTCATGGCCTATATTCATTCATGGATATCTCAGGATTTCCTCTAAAGTGCCTCTCTTGCTGGAGTCAAGAGTGATAATTTTCTTCAGAAGGTTTTCACACTCTGCAGACATGTGGAATGGAATACTGTATTCTCCCTTCAGTACTTGTTCTTGCAGATCCATTTACTTTTTTCCAACAAAATCCAGGAATCCACTCACCAGTGTATATAGGATGACTCCTGGCTCAGCACACCCAAGGTAGGTCCATTATACTATTTTCCCTGGAAGAGTTTAGGGCAAAGTAAGAGAGACTGCCACAGATGATATCCAGCTTGCTCTGATGTTGAAATCATTGCTGAAAACAAACTCTTCAAGTTTTACATTCATGTCCATATCCAAGAGCAAGTGTTCCACCTATAGGTCTTTACGAACAGTACCCTTGTGGTGACAGTACTACTCAGAAGATACTATCTGGAGAAATAGTTTACTGCTTGGGCCTCTTTTTTCTCCATACTTAGGGCCACTAGCTGATTAAGCACCTCTGCCCCATTATCATACTCCATGAATATGTAGACTGTGTTCTCATTTCAGTCACCCAACTTCACAATATTTGGTGGATTGAGAGCCTTTATGATTTTAGCTCTCAGGATAGTCTGGAGGTGGAAGAGGTTTGCCAGTGAGGATGTGCCAGTCCAACTTCACCTTGGTGAAGCTCCCCTTGCCAAGCATTCTGAGGAGGCAATAGTCTGCCACATGATTCTTCTCCTTGGCACATAGGGCTGAGAGGCCCTGTAGCATGTTGGACTTGGTATTGGATCCTGCTGGGCCTGGGATTGAGGAGTCCTTAGAAAAGATGAGAAATAGAAGAATCTCATAGCTAAATACTTAATAAAAAAAGAAAGAAAAACAAGGCTTTTATGTATTTCATTGTACCACTGGTGTCCCCCAGTACTATGGTCTTGAGACAGATCTGTTGGATCTCTCTCCCATAGTGTCTGGGTGTCTGTGAGTGATGGCTGTGTCTGTCTTTTATTGTTTCTGTAAGGATTACAGGTATTTTGTATCACTGGTATCTGTGCAAGATTAGCCTGCGCTGAATCTATCCTTGGTCTAGAATGTACTCCTGTTCACTGACCCCCATCTGGTCCTCTCTGGTGTTTATGTGTTTATCTGTAGCCTGGTATTTGGTGTTAATGGTAATGTGGTATGTGGACACACTAGTTGGTATTAGCATCTGTCATCTATCTCCTACATGCACAATTCAGTGTCCTCCCTTTTCCTAATGATATCATGGTGGTCTCAGACTCTTTCCATATATCCCTCCCCATACCCACGTCAGCGTGTGGGCCCCAACTAGCCTGAAATTAATCCCTCCCCTTCCCTCCCCACCCCGGTAACCTACAACGTGAGTCCTCTTTCCCAAGCAAACCCTTCTTTGTCTTTTTACAGTAATGGACTCATACAGAACTTGTCCTTCCACAATTGACTTATTTCACTCAGCATAATGTCCTCCAGGCTCATCCATATTGTGAGGTGGTTCACATATCCCTCATTGTTCTTTAATGTAGCATAGTTTTTCATTGTGTGCATGTACCATAATTTGGTTATCCAGTCATCCATTGATGGGCATTTAGATTGTTTCCATCTCTTTGCTATAATGAATTGTGCTGCGATGAATATAGGTGTACATATGTCTGTTTGTGCGATGTCTCTCACCTCTTCAGGATATATTCCTAGTAATGCAATTGCTGGGTCAAATGATATTTATATTTTCAGTTGTTTAAGGAAACACCATACCGTTTGCCACAATGGTTGTAGCATTTTACAATTCCACCAGCAGTGTATAAGAGTTCTGATCTCTCTACAACCTCGTCAGCATTTGTTATTTTCTGACCTGTAGAACTTTGCTATTATTTCTGGGGTGAGATGATATCTCATCATTCTTTTGATTTGCATCTCTCTAATGACTAATGATCGCAAGTAATTTCTCATGTGTTTGTTGGCTGCAAGTATATTATCTTTGGTGAAGTGTCTGTTCAACTCTTTTGCCCATTTGTGAATTGGGTTATTTCCTCATCCTACACTGGTGAGTAGTGACTGGGGTCTTAAAAGCTTTCAAGAGGCCATCTAAGATGCACCTAATGGTCTCCTAGTGCTGGAAACAAAGAAGAGTGCAAAAAAAAAAGGGGGGGGGCATTTGGAAGGAACCAGCCCTAGGGCATGATGGCCCTCGAGACCAGAAGAACTAGATAGTGCCTGGCTACCAATGCCAACCATTCAGGAAAGAATCAAATCTGGAGAGCCTGAATAGAGTTTGGAGGAAAAATGTGGAACAAAACCCAAAAACTCAATAATGACTAGAATTACTGGTCAGATGGAATCTGGTGAGACCCTCAATACTATGGCCCTGGAATACATTCTGCACCTGGAATAAAACTCACTCCCAGGGGCTGGCTCTCAGTCCAATATGTACATGCAGACCACTCAACCCAGGGGGATGCACCCACATACACTATGGAAATACAGCCCTTGGAGCAATAGACCACAGGGCACCAGAGGGGCAACATTCACACAGAGGTAACACAGAAAATACAGGAGTGCATAACTATGAGGGGCACAGGGGGAGGGATACTGGGTAGGGAGGGGAGGAGACTGGGTTTGGATTGGGCATGGTAAATGGGAAGTGAACTTAAATGTACATGTAATATTGAATGTAAAGCAAACTCTTAAAATAAAATTTATTTATCTGCAACTCTCCGTCTCTTGAGTGGTGCATTTAATCCATTAACATTCAGTGTAGTTATTGACAAGTATGATTTGGTTGCTGTCATTTTGTTATGTGTATTTTCATGGTGTCCCTGGATTCTTTGTTCCATATTATTTTCTGTGCTGAGCTCATTATGTTTATGAATCATGTTATCATTTCCTTTGTTATGTTGTTTTAGTATTTGCTGAATATTTGTGCTTGTCCTCTTTTTTATTGTGATGTGAAGGTTTATCACTTTTCTTTGAGGTTACCCTGTGATTTGTAATTTTTTCCCCGAGTTTGGAATGGTCTCTTCTGTCTTGCAATGCTCTTGACTTCCTTGCCATTGAGAAGTTCTATAACTTCACACTATTTTCCCTCTTTTTGGTTTGTAGTTGTCCCCGTTTGCCAATTGAAGTGTCTGGTTCTCTGTTACAATCTTGTAAGCTTATTTTACTTTGGATATGTCCATACCTGTGGTTTCTGGGTTATGTCATCTTGTGTATTAATGGCTGGTTGTTGTTTGCTATTTTTGGTTCTCTGTTCAAAGGATTTCCTTTAGTATCTCTTGAAAGGTTGGTCTGGTTTTAACAAATTCCCTTAGTTTCTGCTTATCTGGAAATCTCCTAATTTTACCATCATATTTGAGGGATAATTTTTCTGGGTATATAATTCTTGGTTGAAAATTTTTCTCTTTCAGGGTTTTATATATACCACCCCATTGCCTTCTTGCTTGCATAGTTTCTGCTGGGAAATCAGAGCTTATTCTTACTGGTTGTCCTTTGTCAGTAACTTGTTTTTCTCATGCTGCTTTCAGGATTCTGTCTTTGTCTTCAGTTTTGATGAGTTTGATGATGATATGTCTTGGTGATTTTCTTTTGGGGTTTATCCTATTTGGGGTTCATTGGACTTCCTGAATGGATATATTCTTACCTTTCATCATATCAGGGAAGTTCTCCTCCAACAAATCATGGAATATTTTCTCAGTGGTTTTCTTTTTCTCTTCTTGTTTTGGAATTCCAGTGACACATAGGTTATTCCTTTTGATGGTATCCCACGTGATCCTTAGGATTTCTTCATTTTGTTTTGATCTTTTTTCTGATTGATCCCTTTCCAAAGAAATATTCAGGAATTTGTCTTCAATCTCATTAATTCTGTCTTCCATTGCATTGATTCTACTCTTTTGCCCTTTCAATGTGTTATCTATTTCTGACAATTTAGTATTAATCTTCTGGATTTCTATCTGTATATTTTGAATCATTTCTAATTTTTCATTTATTTTGTCATTTTGTTCTTATATTTTCTTCCAGAATTCTTCTAGAGATTTGTCTGTGTTTTCCTTGATCTGTCTCTCAATCCTTTCACGATACCTAAATGTAATTCTTTTGAATTCCTTATCAGAAGTTCCAATGCTGTTTCTTCCTCAGGGATATGTTCTGGGTCTGTATCCTGCTTCCTTGTTTCTACCCCTTTTATCTTGCTTCTTTGCATAGACTGTGATGGTCTTTTGTCTCCAAGACATTGTGACATTGTTGTATTTAGATCTCTG